GATAAACTGAAGGATGAAGTGTTCCTTCAGGTGTTGATGTTGAATGTTTGTGATAAACTGAAGGAGGAGGAGAGTATTTTTTCGAGACAGCAGCTGGCTTTGTGATAGATTTATTTATTTTCTTTAACTACAATCGTAGTGTTCTCATACATGTCATCTGCAGTTCATGAAACCGATATATATTTATACAAATAGAGAAATATAATCTACATACATCTAATACAAAACAAACCAGTCTGTGAGTGAATCCACTGTTTGGTTCAGTTGTAATAACGGTGTCAAGTGCTGGAGAGAAGATCTGCTCACATGATAATATCAGAATTATGAATCTGTGCATTAAATAAGTCTAAAAATAAAACATTCTTAAAACAAGCAACCACCAAACCCACAAACATTAGATGATCAAACACACACCTGTGAGTTCTTAAAGAAGTTTCTTTGGTTGAAAAGAGAATCAGCCCTGAAAACCTTTAAATAAATGTTTTAAAGCACAAACAAAGAGCTGGAATGTGGAAAAAAAGAAAAGAGTTCAAAGATACGACTTCACCAACATGTCGACTCAGCAGAGACGCCTTTAAACCACCGAGGGGTCAGAGGTCACATGTTAAAATGTAATATTGTTTTCAAATCATAAAGACGATGAAGAAAACTTTACTTTGTCCAACATGACGTCTTCATGCGTTTGTGATATTTAATTAGGGTTATTACAATTACAGAACAATTCATTTGTAATATTTGCAAAAATGGTTTGAGTTGCACTTTTTGTGCTCGACTTTCGGCAAAGAAGAAAATTTGAATTACCGAAATCATAATTACGAGATCTTGTAATAAAAAAATTTGAAAATCAGTATGAAACTAAATTAACAATTTACCTCAAAATGACTAAATCTGAAATTAAGAATAGATTTCTTAATCTTGAGGTGAAAATTCAAGATCTCACAATCTTGTAATTATAATTTTTGTATCTCGTAAATTTGAGATTAAGTCTCTAGATTTAACGATATTGTACCTCAGAATTAAGAAATCACATCTAATTTCCTAATTTTGAGGTCCAATTTTTAAAATAAGTTTTCTTTTCTTGACTTGAGGTCATTAAAGAGTTAAGAGCTGTACCACGTAGTATTTCCTGAATATTTAGTAGTATTTTGTTTCTAAATGAATAAAATCATCTCGACATGCTAACAAAACGTGATTTCAAGGCAGCCAAAAGATGAAAAGACTTATTTTGTCCCACGTCTCAAATGTGATCGTAGAAAAATCCTCCAGACGTCATTAAAAGTTGCTTTAAGGCAAACAACGTAAGTCCACATCAGCTGGAAGATGCTTTCAAAGCAAAACTCAAAAAAACAAACAAGATAAGAAAAAGTGCTCGAACAGAAGAAAGAAAGCGACACGTTCAACATTTGTTATTATAAACTAAAACATGGATTATTGTGATATCTTTTATATCTGAGCCTCACAGTCACAAAGTCCGGTCACGGTATAATTAAGGCACTTGATTTTTATTTAACAGCTCAGAGTGGCAACACTTTGACTTTGGAAGACTTCATTACCCAGAAACCCCGTGTGGCGAAGTAACCCTGATCACTGCGTGTTCTTGTGTAACGAACGATCACTTCGAAGAATAAAAGTTAAATCTGGGACGAACATTAAGTGAAAATACTGGCAGTAAATAAAATAACGAGAAGGAAAATGAGCTGTGCTAACATGCTAACATCACGACGCCAACATTAGCTAACATGCTGATATCACTACGCCAACGTTAGCTAACATCACTACGCCAACGTTAGCTAACGTGGTAACATCACGACGCTAACGTTAGCTAACCTGCTGACATCACTACGCCAACGTTAGCTAACATGCTGAAATCACTACGCTAACGTTAGCTAAAGGGTTTGTTAGCTAGCTAATATTTGTTAGCCAGCTAATGTTTGTTAGCTAATGGTGACATTAGCTGTTACTGTTATTATTATTATGATTTAATTCATGATAAACACATTTATTAATTGTTAAATGACTGATTTGAGTTTAGTCTATATTGTATTCAGATTTATTTTCAAACTGCTTAAATTAAAGCCCCAAGCTCTGCTGCTAGTAAGCTAATGTTTGTTAGCTACTGAGCTAACATTAATAAACAAACACTAGTTAGCTGTCAATCACAAATGACTTCTAGTGAGGTTTAATATGTAGTTATGTTCCCGTCTCAAGGTGATCAGTTCATCCGTCTTTGAGTCGTCACCACACCGTTAGCCGCAGTGCTAACACCACGCTAACACCACGTGGTCTGCCTTGTTGTTTGGAGTCAGTTTTAATCAATCAGTGACCTAAACTCTGTGAGTGTAAAGTTCCTCTCGGCCTTCATCCTACCATCGTCTTCCTCCCACAGGGAGCAGGTTAGAGAGGCAAAGGCCCACACGCCCCCAAGAACTACAGCTCCCATGCATCTTTGGGGGAAGGAGCTGCACACATTCCGTGAGCATTAGAGCGCTAACAGACTAGCATGTTTTGAGCTAGCACCTCTTCATCAATGTGTTTCCTCTGTATGAAAGATGATACTGGGAGTTTTATGTTTGTATTAGTGCTGGGCAACGATTAAAATATTTAATCGCGATTAATCGCATGGATTTTTTGCGATTAATCGCGATTAATCGCATTGTTATGGCAAAGTTCAACAATGAATTCAAAAGTAGTGTATTGCGCACTTTTATTTTAAAAGTACTGCTATATGAACAAAAGGCCAATAGCATTTGGTTCACGAGATGCAGGTAGCATGTTTTATACTTAATGTGAATATAATTCATACTTTGTTGGCATCTTATTCTGAAAACCGGATGTTGTCTCACGTTAATCTTTCCGCTAACTTTCAAAGTCCTTCGCTCGCTCCCGATCTGTGCTGTTTAAATGCGTTTACCGTGAATTTCAGCATATAGGTGCACTAAAATTACTATAGGATGTTTGCTGGCTTTTATCCCACTGTTCTTGTCATCCTCTTGTTCTTATGTATATGTATTGTCTCTTGTCTTTCAATTAAAAAAAAATAAAAATAAAAATAATAATAATTATAATAAATTTAAAAAATGCGTTAACGCGCGATAAAATAATTGTCGGCGTTAATTAATGAATGCGTTAACGCAAAATTAACGCGTTAACTTGCCCAGCACTAGTTTGTATATTTAACATGTTAAACTTCTTTATATTTAACTTGTTAAAGCTTCTTAACAAACATGTTGAATGGAGTTTTTTGGAATATTTAGGATCAGTAGTCGTGTTTCCATGAACATATTTTCGTGCTAATTTTGCAGAATCACAGACGTTTTTACGCTCAAATGAGGTTGTTTTTTGTCAAATAAGAGTTAATGGATTTTAAAAAACGAACATTTAGGTCACATGACTCGTGTCTTTCTGGATATTTATTCATAATTTGAACCGTCGCCATCTTGTTATTTTGCAACCAGAAGTGAGACAAGAGGGCGGAACTACGAACAACTAAGAAATGAATAAAACATTTGTGTGTGTTTCCGTACTACTGTCTTTGTGAGGACCATGTGTTTAGCCTGCAGAGTGAGGACACTTTTCTTTCCCCTCCAGGCGGTGGTGGAGGAAGTATTCAATACCTTTAGTATTAGTATTAAAAAAAAAAAAAAGGACTGTATATAAGAAGTGGACATAGTCGTCGTGACGTAACCCATTGGACCAATGTTTTTTTTCTTTTAACAGATGAATAGGAAGTGACCATATCTGGACTGAGGAGTGACGTAGAGACGCCGTATACATCTCTGGTAGAGACCTGTCAATCACTGTGTAGCCCCGCCCTAAAGCATCCCCTGCTTTATGGTCTGTTTGACTCTAAATGGACCATAATGTACTAAATGAACATCATGCTGTATTGAAGAAGACTTGAAACTAGAGATTGAGACCATAAACTCATGTTTACAATGTTTACTGAGGTAATAAATCAAGAGAGAAGTAGAGTCATTTTCTCATAGACTTCTATACAACCAGAGGAGTCGCCCCCTGGTGGACACTAGAGAGAATGCAGCTTTAACACATGAAGCTCTTCCTGTTCTCTTCTTCTTCTTCTACTCTTTTAACTGGCAGATTACAAACATGTAGACAAGTTTATTCTCTTCAGCTCATAACTCACTTTTTTTTTTTGCGACATTTCCTTAAAATTTGCTGAACAATTGAATGGAAACACGACAACTGTTTGTTAGCTCGTCTCAGTCTATAGACAGTGAGAGGAAGAGGAAACCCACCAATGAATGGATGCTAACCTGAGGGGGGGGGCTTCTATTCTCCAGGCTTCAGGTGGGCGGGGCTTAGCACACATCATCACTGCTCATGACGAAACCCCGCCCACCACCTCCTCCTCCAATCACAACCTGTTATCTTCCTGCTCAGGTATGAAGAGGAGCTGCTCCTCCTCCTCCTCCTCCTCCTTCTGTGGGAGTCCAGACCAACACATGCTCTATTCCTCCTCCTCCTCTTCTTCTTCCTCTCCAGCCATCACCTCCACCAGCAGCTCAGCGGTGCAGGTCGCCTCACCGAGACTGTTGACCGCCTTCACCGTGTACTTGGAGTCATCGTCACCTGACACCTGGAGAGGAGGTGAAGATGAGGTGAGGAGGAGGTGAGATGAAGAAGAAGTGAGGAAGAGGTGAAGAGGAGGTGAAAAGGAAGTAAAGACTAAGTTAAGAAGGAGTGAGGTGGAGGTGAAGAGGAAGTGAAGAGGGTGTGAAGACGAAGTGAGGAAGAAGTAAAGAGGAAGTAAGGTGGAAGTGACATGGAGGTAAAGAGGAAGTGAATAGGAAGTGAATAGGAAGTGAAAGGAAGTGAAGAGGAAGTGAGGTGGAAGTGAGGAGGAAGTGAAGAGGAAGTGAGGTGGAGGTGAAGAGGAAGTGAATAGGAAGTGAAGAGGAAGTGAGTTGGAAGTGAAGAGGAAGTGAAGAGCAGGTTTCACAACAGAATAACAAAGAACAAAGGAGTCGACCTCTGAAATGACCAGACTGCAATTTCCTTCCTCGTCGTAGTCGATTTGAAAATGCCGCGTCTCTTTGATCGGCTGCTCGTCTTTGTACCAAACCACCTCTGGATCGGGGAAACCTGGAGAACCAGTATTGATGATCAGGATCAATAAGAACCAGTATTGATGATCAGGATCAATAAGAACCAGTATTGATGATCAGGATGAGGTCTTTTACCTTCGATCTTGCAGTCGAAGCGAGCAGCGCTGCCCTCCACCACCTCAACGTCTTTGATCACAGAACTGAACGAAGGTTTACACTCTGTCTTCTGATCGAACTCCAAACACTCCAGGAACTGGTTATCTTCTACACACACACACACACACACGCACACACACAGTGTCACACTAGATATAATAACATTAACAACAGAAGAAGAAGGTTCTGGTGACCCGGCTGACCTTCGGTCGGCGACCCTTTCTTGGCGCTGACTCCGGCCATCATTGCCATGGTCGACAGGCGGCCGATGGCTCGAACAGCGTGACCGGTTTTCTACCACAGAAGAAGAAACACGGTCACTTCCTGTCCTGCTGAGGTGTGTTAATAACCTAATGATCTAATAGAGCAGACATCTTTGTTACATTCCCTTTTGTTCTGTTGTTTTTCTACTTAGAACTGTTTATTTTGTATTACAGTATAAAATGCTGTGTCATGTTATAGCATGCTGTGTCATGTTTACCTGCCATTTCCTCCTCAGGATGTACTTCTTCATCCTCTCCTTGGAGAGCTTCTTGGCCTTCATGGTGGTGGTGTCCTGCTTCAGCCAGGTGTGTTCATAGCACTGAGCACAGGTGAGCCTGGCCCTGACACACACACACACACACACACACACACACACACACACACACACACAGAGGCTTCAGACAGAGGGCTATTGATGCTATCGATTCTATCGATGCTATCGAGTGTGTTCTTACTTCATGTCTTTCTTCAGCAGGTTGGTGATGAAGTCTTTTCCGTTGTCTGAGATCTCGTCGAAGGCGTCGTCCTCAAAGTCCCAGGAGGCCGAGGTCACGTTGGACAAAGTCTCGTTGTCGTTGTCGCCCATGAAGGGAGACAAACCGCTCAGCCTGAGGGACGACAACACAGAACTGAGCCAAACTGAGCTGAACTGAGCTGAGACAAACTGAGACAAACTGAGCCAGACTAAAGTTAACTGAACTACATACTACTACTAGCTAAAAATAAAAACAAAATAAATGAAGCTAAGCTAAGTGAAGCTAAGCTAAAATAAGCTAAACTCAAAGACCATAAAAACAAAATGATGCTAAGCTAAAGATAGACTCACAGTATGTAACAGATGACTCCTATACTCCACATGTCGGTGGGATAACTGATGGCTTCATAGTTGATCACTTCTGGAGCCACAAACTCTGGAGTCCCAAATAAAACCTTCAGAGTTCCTGCGTTTTCTGTTGAAGAGAAAAGAGTTTGATTAAAAGATAAACAGTCAAAAATGATCAGGGGCGGCCATTTTAGGACATATCAGGCTAACTGTTGACATTATCAATGTCGTTTTCTCTAAACCTGCTTTCTGAAACAGAGCTCCGCTCTGTGTTAGCATTGTCTTAGCATTGTCTTAGCATAATAATAGCATACTGTTAGCATAATAATAGCATAATGATAGTATAATGTTAGCATAGTGTTTGATTATTTGTATATTTACTTAGATGCATCATTAACTGAAGTATATTTAATGTAAATCCATTGGATATTTGTCTCAGTCTGGATCAATAAAGTTTAGTCAAACTCCTCAGTGATGTCACCTAGTCGCCTGGCGAGGCCGAAGTCGATGAGTTTGATTTTCCCGCCGGTCTTGTTGACACACATGATGTTCTCTGGTTTCAGGTCCAGGTGGACGATTCCCTGTTTGTGGATGAAACTGACGCCATCGATGATCTGCAGCATGTATCTAATCACCTCCCTTTCCGTCAGCTCGAAGTCCTCATCGATGATTCGCTCAAACAGCTCGCCACCGGAGATCCTACAGAGAAACATCTGGTTCATAGGACTACAGAGTAACATCTGGTTCACAGGACTACAGAGAAACATCTGGTTCAAAGAACTACAGAGAAACATCTGGTTCATAGAACTACAGAGAAACATCTGGTTCATAGAACTACAGAGAAACATCTGGTTCATAGGACTACAGAGAAACATCTGTTCATAGGACTACAGAGAAACATCTGTTCATAGAACCACAGAGAAACATCTGTTCATAGAACTACAGAGAAACATCTGGTTCAAAGAACTAGACATCTGGATCGTAGGACTACAGAGAAACATCTGATTCAAAGAACTACAGAGAAACATCTGGTCCGTAGGACTACAGAGAAACATCTGCTTCATAGAACTACAGAGATACATCCAGTTCAAAGAACTACAGAGAAACATCTGTTCATAGGACTACAGAGAAACATCTGCTTCAAAGAACTACAGAGAAACATCTGCTTCATAGGACTACAGAGAAACATCTGATTCATAGGACTACAAAAACACATCTGTTCTGCTACAGCTCATAGAACTACAAAAACACTATCAGTCTGACAACGGTTTAGCCTCTGAGGACAACGATCTTAGAGCATCTTGCAGTCTCATCTCTCGAAACATCACTAAAGAAAAGAGCTCATAAATCTGAGTCATTTTTCATGATAGCCGATTGGTTCCCAGATTAGAACATCAGCCAATAAGCTCCCCCTCTTTTACCTCCACACAATCTGTTTACCTTCATTCAACCAAAGTCTGCTGCATCGTGATTGGTCGATACAATTCAGACTACAAACTCAAACCAGAAGGATTCTTTCCGGAGGAAAACCCTACCAAAATAAGAGTCTGATGACTTCCTTCTTGTCCATCAGTTTTTAACTCGTCAGCAGATATTTCGTGTTTATCAGAATAACTAAATGTTTCTAAATTATGAGATATTTCTGCGTTATAATCAGATAAAGACTCTGTTGATCATCACTGCTCTAAAATTAGCAGACAGGAAATAGCTGCTGTCATTCCGCTCACAGTTGGACAGAAAGTTATTTTCCAACGTCGTTTGAAACAAAAACATCTGGTTTGTGTTTCCAGTTCAAACTGATCAGAGATCAGCTGCAGGTTTAACATTCTACAGTAAAAAGAAGATTTGAACAAAACGTGTAGAATCATAAAAGTTTATTATTTTATTTCATAACCTAAATGGAAGAAGAAGTTTGTGGAGGGAACTCGTCTGTATGCTAAGCTAAGCTAACCAGCTGCTGGCATTAATACATTTAACATAAGTTAGCTTCTTATTTATCTTCTTTTTCTTTTGTTAAATTTAGTTTTCTCTGTTTTAACATTGTTAAGAAAAATATAATTATCCTGTATTTAATAAATAATAAAACCAACGTACATCTCGAGCACCATGACGATGTCCGACTTCCCCTCGAAGGCGTCGATGCACTGCACCAGTTTCGGGTGGTGCAGGCTGTTCATGATGCCGATCTCGTGCCGGACGTTGTCCTTCTCCTTCGCCGAGTACGCCTTGATGAACTTTCCCGCCCACACCTTCTTCGTGGCCTTCTCCACCAGCTTGAAGACCTGACCAAACTTCCCCCTGTCACACATAAACACGGTGACGTCTTTAGAAATGGCCTCTTCACGTTACATCACAGGTGCATTATGGGTGAGGAGTGAGTGGGCGGAGACTCACGTTCCCAGCCGCTCCTCCACGTCGTACAGCTCCTTCACCTTCACGTCGGTCCTGATGGACACATCTCTGTAGTCGGGCTCCTTGTCCAGGTCTGAAAACACAGAGGTCAGAGGTCACCGGGAGGGGTGGGGCGTAATGTTATGTTAGCATATGCTAGCTTGTTAACAGGAAGTCTGAGTCATCATACCTTCATCCTCCTCCTCTGCCTCGGCCTCTTCATCTGTCAGACGAACCAAACAGCAGCAGTTAGTTCAGTTAGTCCGTTTAGTTCAGTTCATTAAGTCCTGGTTAGTCCTGGTTAGACTTAGTCCTGGTTTAGTTTAGTAGATTAAGTCCTGGTTTAGTTTAGTAGACTTAGTC